AGCTCCCTGACTTTTAAGCACCTGCTGGCCCTGGGACACTGGCAATGACAAAATGCCGTGTTCTTGCAGGTGTTTGCCAAGAGACCATGATGGACTCAGGTGAATCCTCTTTTCTCTTTATCACGTACTGTGGCAATCACAAACAGCATTCAGTGTCTCACCTTAAAATGCTTTGCTTAGTGAAACAAGTCAGTTCCCAAAGGCAATCAGAATGTCTTTCTCCTAGTTAATGTTGAATACAAAAATATTTTAGAAATGGAAAGAGCGTCCTGAAATTTGATTGTTGTTTCTACCCCAGGGACACTGATTTCTCTCCATTTTTACTTGTTAAATTTGATGGTTAGTTTTATGCTAATCCTGTGACTAATATGTTGTAGTTAATATTTTATGAACTATATTATAATAATTTATGAACTATTTCAAGAACAATTAATTATATTTCTCAACACTTACATATGATAATACTTAAGGAGATGCAAATACAATGTTCACACATTAATTCTCATAAATGCAAATACATGAAAACATTTTTCAAATATCTTTTTAGGATAATTAATTTAAATAAGGTAAATATATATTAAAAATAAAAGTAAAATGACATTATTCAATTGGGCCATCACAGACTATAGCACCTGCCAACACTCAGAAGACGTGGGGCTAAGAGTACCCATGGCAGGGTAACTTTGCAGACTTTCTTGTTGTCTGCTGATTTCAGTGTTGAGTGAGAGAGCTAGGACTGGTGGTGGGACAGTCTGGGTCTGAGACTGGCTGAGCTGGCTACCATACTCACTGGCAAACACAAGAGCCTGAAAGGGTGCAGGCCAGCTAAGCTAGGATACAGCCCAGCTGACAAGTGCCCAGTTAGATGTGAGTCCTTTAAGGCAAGATTACATCAGCCATTGTTAGGTACAAGATCTGGTGCTGGGAACATGCCTAGCAAGGGAAACCATAGGCACTTCCCTGGCTGTACCTATTGCTGGGTCATAGCACCCATTAGTTCACATGCAAATTGGGGTTGGGCACCAGTATGTCCATCGGTTGGTGTAGGTGATAGACTAAATTGAGCCTGTCCTGACTATGCACACAGGAATCAAACCTAAAGTCTCCCTCGGTGAGGTTTCTTGGAGAACTCCCCAACTAGATCACTACCTTCTAACTCTGGAGTGCAGGTGTTGGGACTGTGTCTCCTAAGTTGGTGATGCCTGAGTTGTGGGTATCATGGGAGATATGGTAGCCAGCTCTGTGTGCCAGCATGGGATGTTGAATGTGTCCCCAGAGGATGGCTCCTGCAAGCGCTAGTGGGTATGAAGTCGTGTCCCAGACAAACCTTCCCCCAGACCAGCCCAGATGCATGCTGATGGGTGATGTGGCCTTGCCCAGCATAGTCTGCATACAATCCTGACACTCACACTAAATAGTGTGAGCTTTAGCCCAGCAAGGATGTCTCCAGGTTTCCATACTAGGCCTGTTACAATTTCTTGGGACTTATGTGTGTTGGCAAGTGCTTCAACCAAACTGAACCTGGCACATTCATGGACTCCGTTTGTGGAGAGCAGAGCCGCGCCTCAAAGATGGCGCTTGTTGATCTCGCTTCGTGGCACAAAGGTGGTAAACAGGTTTTGGGAAGTTACTGAGGATTGGACCAAGCACATAGGGAAGCTACATGACCTAAGTCATGATTGGTGTGCTTACCACATGATGTTAGGAACTGTGTATGGATTGGTTTGTGTAATGTAGAAAGGTTTGGGTGAAAAAATAGTTAAAGGAGATTCTCCCAGGCGCACTTCAAGGCTAGGCTAGAGCTAGAGCTATCGCTATCACTTCAAGGCTATTGCTAGCTAGCATTAGGCTGCTTTTGCTTTACTGTAATAAATCTTACAAGTGCTGTAACTGCTTTCACTTTGACACAACGCTTGAAGTCTTATCCAATAAACTTTTTTAAGAATCTTTACCGTATCGGGGTCTTGCTCGCGGGACGAGGGACCCTGATACCGTTCATCTGGGGACAGCATACATCGTGTCCAGGCTCTCCTGTGTCCCAGCATGTGATCAGGCCCAACCCAAACAAATGCTGCAGACTTTCCTGTCCTGACCTGCCTGTAGCCCCAATTTCAGTGCTCCAGTTCTGATGCAGACTTGTAGGAGAGTCCCCAATGATGTACTGCCAGGCCTGTTCCCAACCTGGCTTTCACATGTGCGAGTGGTGGCAGTGGCCCTGCTTGATGTGATCTGATCTTAGTCCTGGCCCTTGCATATGCTGGTCCCTATTTGTCTCCTCATGTCCAAGCTCCCATGATTGTCAGGTGGGTTTATGTCAGATGAGTTTGTGGTCCATCCTGTCTTGGCCTTTTCCACCCCCAGCACTCCATGTAAAACAGCGGGTACAGTGACCTCACAGAGCTGAGACCATAATCCCCATAGAGAATCCAGCCCCCAAACCCAGTGCTTTTGCATCGTGGTGGTTGCTGTGCTCCCTCCTCATGTGGCCCATCCCTGCTCTGACACTCATGAACACCTACTGTGGGCTAGCCCTGCCAGGTATGTCCATTCTCACTAGACTTCTATGCACCAGCAGGAAGCAGTTGTTGCTACTAATTCCAGTGCAGGTCTCCCATGTGGGCAGGTGCCTTGGCCTGACTAATATATACCCACATGTTTCCCTGTTGAAACCATTCACTTTTAACAGCCTTCCTGCTGGTAGAGTGGCCAAGTTGTTTTATGTCCCCAGAAGTCATTCTTCCCTGTCCAACATGCTCTCAGCCACACCCACTCCAATATGTATGCAACTCTCTTCCCTAGGCAAATTGCAACCAACCTTCTGGGGACTAAGAACATGTCCCAAGTGAAGTTCCTCAGCTTTTCCACTTATCATTTTTTAAAAAGGAATAAATAAATATGCTGGCATGGTGGTATATTTAGCACAGATTTGGCATCAACCAGGCCAAGAATGCCCACCAGCCATTGATTGCGTTTCTCCCAGCACTGTAACTTCACCTAGGGACCTGACAGCCCAGGCAGTTGTGCTCATTGTCAGACCCACTGTCTTTGTAACAGGCCTGAGAATGTAGTGGAAGATGGCATGTTTGGTCCTCTACCATCCATGTGCTTTGACCTGGTGTAGTTTCAGCTATTATGACCACATAGAGAATAAAAGATCTCTCTTTTTTTCACTCTAACTTTCATTCTCTCTCACTGTTACAATGAAAAAATAAATTAATAAATATTTAACACAGGCAAGGTAACCCTGGGAAAAAAATATTTTTAAAATCTATAGGTAGTTGTATGTCTGAGTTTCTGTGTGTTTTTATTCTTTGTTTTAAGGAATACTCATATTCCTCAACATTTGGCCACCTGCATTTTAAACCTTTTAATATTTCTTGTTAAAGGAAACTCTTGTTTTTTAAAACATTATTTATTATCTTATTGCAAAGTCAGATTTAGAGAGAGGAGGAGAGACAGAGGAAACGATCATCTGTCTGTTGATTCACATTCGTTGTAGCCAAAACTGAAGGAGCTGTGACAATCTGACGCCAGGAGCCAGGATCCCGTTCCAGGTATACACACAGGTGCAGGGCCCCAAAGCTTTGGGCTATTCTCTATTGCTTTCCCAGGCCACAAGCAGGGAATTGGATGGGAAGTAGGCCCTGCCACAGTTAGAACCAGAGCCCATATTACATCCCTGTGAATGTAAGTTGAGGACTTTAGCTACTGAACTACCATGCAGGGCCCAGGAAAGTAATATTTTACAAAAATTATTCAATTGATATTAGTGTACACAAAAGTGCTTCTGAAATGTCTTCTTGAATCTGAAAGTGAAAGGTGAGTACTAATTTCATTAAGTTGTCAATGTAAAAGAGAAGCACTGTCAAAGACACAATGTTTAACTTTTTGTATGTTATACTTTTAAAGATCATTTAAAATACAGAAAGAGTGGACAGGAAGGAGAGATCTTCCATCAGCTGCCCCTCTCCCCATGGGCCATGATAGCCAGGGTTCAGCCTTCATGAAGCCAGGAGCTTAATCCTGGTCTCCTAGCTGGGTGACAGGAATCCACACACAGCCGCAGCATTCCCAGATGCATTATCCAGGAGTGGATCAGAAGGGAAATGCTGGGACATAGATCGTTGCTTCATGCAGGATCATGGCATTGCCAACATTACTTGAATCTGCTAGGTCATATTTTCATGAGGTTTTTTACAGTTCTCTCAATCAGTGTGGCATCTCTAGAAATCTGAGGTGTGAGCAGCACTCATTGGGTTATGTGGAAACGTATGTCACTGAGATAATCAGATTTCCTTGTTTTATACTTCAGTTACAATGAAATTCCACAGGATTTTATGCATGTATATTTTAAGTCTTATGAAGTAATGTTAGGTGGCTTGTGAAAGCCATTGAAAACAACCACAAATTGACAGTGTATTTCCTTCCAGAAGGTTCATGGGAAAATGACAACAATTTTCTGATAACTTACCGTTATACCAAGAGTAGGAAGATTTGTCAGAACTTCAATGAAGAAGCAAGTGTCTTTCCAAAACTTGTATCCCAGCACCAAAGACAACAATATTGAATTACATGAGATTAACAAATGGGTGGGGATATTCTTACGTCTTTTTAAAATTTCATCTTTAAACCTTTTATGGACATAAATTCAGCAAGTTTAATGTATTTCTTAAATAAAATTCTAAGACATTCAATATAGCTCAATGGCTCAATCATTTCTTTTTTTTCAATTTTGTACAATCATGTGATTTAAAATTTTTAATCATACTCTTAATGGTACATTAAAACAAATGAACTGTATTATACCAGATAACACAAAGTGCAATGCAATAGGTCATTTATCTGCAGTGTATCCAGAGGAATTAATGATTTTAAAAAGGACAGTAAGCAAACAAATCAAGCTCTGCTTCCTCCTCTGATATATGCATCACAGTGTCTGACCCTGAGGTCTAAGACGTGAAATCACTGGCACTGCTCAGCCCAAACACCAGGGGTTCCACTCATTTAGGGAACAATAGTTTTTTCAGAGCTCTCTTCATGTCTGTGTTCCTCAGGCTGTAGATGAAGGGGTTCAACATGGGGGTGACCACAGTGTACATCAGCGAGGCTGCTGCAGTTGAAACTGACCTTGGGTCAGTGCTGGCACTGAGGTACACACTTATGCTTGTGCCATAAAATAAGGAGATGGTAAAGAGATGAGAGGCACAGGTGGAAAAGGCTTTATACTTGCTCTGAATTGATGAGAAGGCTCGGATGGAAGAGGCAATCTTGGAGTAAGAGTACAGGATCCCGGACAAGGGACCACCCCCTATAAGCACAGCTTCAAAGTCCATTATGAGGTCATTGAGAAAGGTGTCAGAACAGGCTCTGTGGACCACCTGATTCCACTCACAGAAGAAGTGAGGGATTTCCACATGTGTGCAGAAGCTCATTCTCAGCACTAGTAAGCTGTTTAACAAACCATTGAGGACACTGATGGTCCAGCACAATAGAACGAGCTGCACACAGAGTTGGGGAGTCATGATGACCATGTAGTGCAAGGGGTGACAGATGGCCACAAACCGGTCATAGGCCATTGCAGCCAGAAGAAAGTCACCTAATGTTGCAAAGATTATGAAGAAGGACATCTGAGTGATGCAGCCTGCATAACTGATAATTTGGCTCTGTATCTGGATGTTAACCAGAAATTTGGGGATGGTAGTGGTAGTAAAACATATGTCAGAGAATGACAGGTTGGCGAGAAGGAAGTACATTGGTGTGTGGAGATGTGGGTGAGAGGAGATGGCCAGAATGATGAGCAGGTTCCCAATGACACAGATCACATACATAGAGAGCAACAACCCAAAAGCAAGAGGTTGCAATGCTGGGTCCTCTGAAAATCCTCGGAGAAGGATTTGTGAAAGCTGAGTTTGGTTGTTCAGTTTCATGTGGTGTAGAACACTTTCAGGCAGAAGTAATTGACCTGCAATATATTTATAAAACAAACAAACAAACAAACAAAAAACACAACAGATGAAACCAACACAGCAGGAATCCCAAGTTTATTTTTTCTGATTCAGAATGTAATTCCCACATTTACTGATGTCTTGGTTACTGGTTTTGGTCCTTCCCAGTCCAATCACTGACAAGTAATCCTTTATACCCACAATATTTCCCTATACCATCAAGTGATTCTCATATATAATGAGATATTCTTTAACCACTTGGGTATTATTTACTTATCAGAGTTTAAAAATCCACCATTGATTTTCCAACTGGATGCATGAAAGATAGATCAGGGGAACAAACAGTGTATATCATGTGGTTCCATGTATATTAATTCATAATGAGATTACATTTTTACTGTGAAAATAAAGCGATCTTCATGCACAAGAGACAAGTGAAGGCAGAAGTGCTATGATTGTGAGCCAATGACTCAGTCTTGTTAAGCAAAGAGGAATCACAAATGGTGTCAAATGATAAGATTAGGCATGGAGTAGGTCAGAAATATGTATGAAAAATAATTGTTAAAATTCCTTCTGCAGAACTAAGTTTTTGTAGATTTAATATACGCGGGTTTGGAATCCAGGATGAGTTAGTGATTTTGACAACAGAAAAATGCAAGGTTTCACAGATCGTGTTAGATGTTACAGAGCATCCATAAAAATGCCTTACAAAATGCAGCTAAAAAATTTCCTTATTTTGGTGCATGCATTTTGCAAAATAGAATTTTTCAAATAACGATGACCTATAGTAAGTATCGATTGATATATATATTTCTCTCAGAGATATTGGAGCAAAACCATCTACCATCTTAATACATTTTCATTGTACTAAGAAACTCAAGTACACATCAAAGGACTCAATGGCAGAAAGAAACCTGACAACAAGGTGCAATCTTGGTATGTGTGAAAACAGTAATGATAGGAATCAAACTCTCTCACCTGACAACACACCAGGAAATCACTGTATTTAAGGAGAAAATTAGAGTGACAGGAAAGTCTTGAGTGTATCCAACTCACAGGTGATGTGGTAACTCCCAAGCAGGTGTCTTTTTGATAGAGCTGTTCTTACTGCCTGGTTGAGAGAGCATTGCGTTATGTGAGAGTGCAGTGAGTGAAGACAGAAGACACTGAGATGTGTGTTCCAGCAGTTGCTACTATCAGGATTTCCATGCAGACATTGCCTCACACTTGGCCTTTCCTGTCAATACTGGGACAGTCAGTTACATCAACTCTTCACTGTCTGAATGGGCAGGGTGGTGACTCATTCTGCAGAAGCTGTTCCAGTGCCAAGGTTTTTTTTGTTTTTTTGTTTTGTTTTGTTTTGCTTTTTGTTTTTCCCCTTGGCTTCTCTAATCAGTTTCATCTGTGCGTAAGAGGTCCCTTCTCCCTGCAAAACTAGTATGACCTCACTCCACCACATGTTCCCCCACACAGAAAATTCCAACTACTTGCTCCAGATTCCCTAATGTGCCTAGTTGGCTATATGTTCTCAAGGAAACTTATACCACTCATTGTCTATTAGAATTGATCTTTTCTTGCCCTAATTTCTTCATTAGCAATGTTTATTGCCCTTGGAGATCCAACATTTCCCTCCACTTTGATAATCACTGACAAATACATCCAATAGTTAAGTATAGAAGTCACCACCACAGACATATCCCAGGTGTTAGCTAGGTTAGTTCAGTTCTAGGTTAACCACAGGGAAAGTTGTCTCTGTCCCAGATCTGGGATCCCTCCCACAGTGTCTACCAATCTCACCTGCATGGGAACTGTATGACTCAAGTGTCTGTATGGATGCCCAAATTCCTCCCTGGATGGTGGATGCTGCAGACTGAAGCTTTGTTCCAGGCACGGAAGACAGAAGGAGGAAAGTACTGGTCCTGAGTCAGACTCAGGACCCCAAATGCAACAAGCAGGCTGCTTCTAGCCCAAAGTTGCACAGTCTGAGGGAACTGAGCAGAGGAGCTACTTACAGCTCCTGGCACCTGCTCATTAGGCAGCTCCCTGACCTCTAAGCACCTGCTGCCCTCGATGGACGCTGGACCTGACACAAAGCTGTGTTCTTGCATGTGTTTCCCAAGAGACCATGATGAACTCAGGTGAATCCACTTTCTCCTGCTCTAGGTAAATGCAACTAGCTACCTTTTTTTTTTTTTTTTGCTTAGTTAGATAAGCCGTTTCCTCTAAGACAATTAACATGTGTCCCATAGTATGTCATATTTAGATTTAAACACAAAAATATTGTATAAATGGAAAGAAATTCTTGAGATTTGATCTTTGTTTCTAATCCTGGGTAACTGATTTTTCTAATTTTTTTTTTTTACTTGTTAAATATAATGGTTGGTGGTGCACTCAGCCTGAGTAAAATATGAGGTAGTTAATATTTTTTATGTAAGTATGAAATAATTTATTACATATTTCAAATTAATTAAAGTTATAAGTTTCTCAATTCTTATATAGGATAATATATATATATATATATAAATTTAGTTATTCTTTTTTGGATGTCAGATATACAGATGCGATGAAAGATAGAGAGGAAGATCTTCTGTCCAATGATTCACTCCCCAAGTGACCACAATGGTCAGAGCTAATCCAATCCAAATCCAGAAGCCAGGAGCTTCTTCCAGGTCTCCCTCATGGGTGCAGGGTCCCAAGGCTTTGGGCTCAACTGCTTTCCCAGCCCTCAAGCAAGGAGCTGGTTGCAAGCATGGCAGCCGGGATTAGAACCTTCACCCATATATGATCCTGGCATATGCAAAGCAATGCTTTTAGCTACTAAGCCCCTACACCAGGCCGTTTCTTAATAGCCTAATATTTAAGAAAATGCAAATGCAAATGCATGCTTTGATTATTATTCACTGTTTACACATATCAATCTTAGTATTATCTACACTAAATAAATGAAAATGTTTTCTTTAAAAGTCTTTAAAATAATTTATTTAAAAGGAAAAAAATACCTTTTAAAAAATAAAAGTAAAATTGTACTATTCAGGCCAAGTGTGGTGGAGCAAGTGGTTAAGGTCCTCATCTTGCACACCTGGGATCACATGTGGGCCCCGGTTCTAACCCAGGCAGCCCCACTCCCCATCCAGCTCCCTGCTTGTGGCCCAGGAGGGCAGTCAAGCTTTGGGACCCTGCACCCATGCGGGAGACCCAGAAGAGGCTCCTGGCTTCAGATTGGCATAGCATCGGCCGTTGCGCTCACTTGGGGAGTAAATTATCAGACAGAAGAGCTTCCTCTCTGTCTCTCCTCTCTGTATATCTGCCTTTGCAATAAAAATAAAATAATAAAAAATTGTACTATTCAATTGGTCCATTTCAGACTGGACTGTAGTACCAACTGGCACACACAAGACCAGGGGATAAGAGTAGGTTAGGTCTGGAAGGATAACTTTGGAAACTCCCTTGCTGGCTGCTGCTTCCACTGGTAAGTGAGAGAGCTGGGATTATGTGTTGGGGCAGACAGGGTGTGAGACTAGCTGGGCTGGTATCGTATTAATCGGCAAACACAAGAGCCTTAATGGGTGCAGGCCAGTTGAGCTAGGCCACAGTCCAGTTGATAAGTGCCAGGATTAGATGTGAGTCCTCTCAGGCAAGATTGAATCAGCCATTCGCAGTTTCAAGATCTGGTGCTGGGCACAATCCTGACAAGGGGAATGTGGGCACTTCCCTGCCAGGCTGTACCTATTGCTTGGCCACAGCACCCATCAGTTCATGTGTTAACTGGGTCTAGGCAACAGTATGTTTGTTGCCTGGTGTAGGTGATGGACTGAAACTGACCCTGACCTGGCCAGTGCACACAAGAATCAAACCTTGGGTCACCACAGGTGAATGTTTTGGGAACTCTCCAAATCGATCATTGGACTCTAACCCTAGAGTGAAGATGTTGGGACTGAGTCTCCTCTGTTGCTGATGCCTGAGTAGTGCACATCATAGAGCACAACAGCCAGCACATTTGGGTCAGCAGGGGATGTTGAGCATGTCATCAAAGGATGACTGTGATATAAGTGGTAGTGTACTAGGGCCTATTCACGAGACCAGCCTATGTGCATGATGACAGGTACTGCAGTATTGCCCAATCTGGTCCTCACATAACCCTGTGTCTCACATTCATTCCTGGGAGCTACAACCCAGCAATGCAGTGTGAAGGTTTCCCCTACTAGGCATGTTCTGAGCGACAGGACTTGTGTATTTTGGCAGAAGTTCAACCCAACCCAACCTTACCTGGCACAACCACTGTCTCAGTTCTTGCTAGCAGATATTGCAGCCTTGCCCCAGTGGGCACAGCCCACATTCTGTCCAGGCTCTCCTGTGTGTCGTGATGTGCTCAGGCCTGGCCCTGCCTGGCTGGCTCTCAGGCCTGGCCCACACAAATGTAGATACATTCTGCAGACTCGCATGAGTTGACCTGCCACCAACTGTAGTGTCTGTGCTCATCACGGGAACTACAGACTTGCAGGGCATTCCCCAAGTTCTGCCACCAGGCCAGTTCACAGCCCCGGTTCTCACACATGCCAGCAGGATAGCAACCCTGCTTGGCATTATCTACCCTCGGCCCAGGACCGTGCATGTGCTGGCCCCACTTGTTCTTTTCACAATCCCAGCTCCCATGAGTGTCAGGTGTGTTCATTTTTTAATTGTTTTAATATTTATTTTATTTTTATTGGAAAGTCAGATATGCACAAAGGTGACAGAAAGCAATAGTGGGATAGTTAACACTGCTTTGGCAATAATCAGCAAAGAATGCCCACAAGCTGCTAGCTGCTTTTCTGTGAGCACTATAATAATTACCTAGGGGAAAGGCAGCCTAGGCAGTTATGCCCCATATCTGACCCATTTCCCTTGTAATATGCCTGAGAATGTTGTGGAAGATGGCCTGCATATCTGGGCCACTGCCATCCATGCGTTTTGATCTCGTCTAGTTTCTAGTTTCAGCTGTT